TGAAATTCATCACTCACCGCTTGCAGAAAGGGATTTTTGTGTCGCCTGGCATTGGAGAGTCCAGGGAGGGTGGTAGATTGCCAGAAATTTTGGAAACTCCGTCTGACGGTTTTCCACAAGGACTTCCTTGGTCTGTGTCCTCTCAAGGGGAAATTTCCACCGTATTCATCCATCACTGAGTTATCCTTCAGACTCACCCGTATTTGCATCCCAGGAGAAGAACCATGTGTTAGAGTATGTCATGGTGCAGGCGAGAGCATTCAAGGGGGGTTGGCAACTGCTTCTTGAACTAATCCCTTCTGGTATAACGAGGGAACCATCAAAGCGAACACGATACGAAAGTAGGATATTGTTCGAGGTAATTGGAATATGTCCCCTGAGGTATCCCTATTGCGCATTACCGCCACGCCTAAGCTCGCAGTCTTTCATAGGGCTATGCAGACCATTCTTTTCGGCACGCACGTACTGAGGCATTCAGATACATAATTCATGTATTAGAAACGCTTATACTCGAAAAGATAGAGGAATTAATGATTGCTTATTCGCATGTCTTGATATGCGGCGATCTCGTCAGCCTTTGTTGCATGGGGCGGCTCCACCCAAAGCGCAAACTGCGGAATCCCCGGCCTATTTTAGTTCCTATAAGGATGGGGTCTTGGTCTTCCACGCCCTGCAAGGAAAAAAATAATAATAATAACAAAATAATAATGGTTTATTGAAGATCAGGACTGTTAGTGCATAAGCAAATTGGTATCCATCGTCATTTTGAGGGTGAAATCACGAAATCATTGAGTCAAGGATATACGAGGTGAAGTGAAGTGGAGAAGTTGGGTTAGGTTATGGATGATGCGTTCAAGAGGCGGGTCATATAGGGGACTGCTGATTTGAAGAAGCGTTGGGTTTTGCACTTGAATTCCATCAAGAGATGAGAAATGTTACGTCGCAAGGACATTGAGGGCATCTGCCGGAGGGGGGGCAAGACATGTCGACGAGATGGGTTGGCTAGTAGGGCTTGGGCATATTTTAACGTGAGCTTCTTTCGCCTGTCTACCAGAGATGGCAACTGAAGAGTAGATAGAGCCTCCTTATATGACGTAAATTCACTCCCAAGGATGAGCCGAAAAGCGTGCTTCTGGACTAGCTCAATTGAATTTGCCAAATTGGTGGTCAGAAAAGCTCCGATTGGGTCGTTGCCTCTAGAACAAAATGTTCTTATTACGTCGCGCTGTGGTTATTTGATGCCAAAGTCTTGAACTTAAGTTTAAGACTTACTTTCTAACACATTTTAAAAAATACGGTATCCTTTTTTTCTTAATCACGTGCCTTCAGAACAGCTTGTTATCAGTTTGACGCCATCAGCGGTTGCCTTGGTTCCATCGACCCACTATGTCTGCGTTGTGTCCCTCAATGATTTCCAGTTTTGCTTGCATTTCTGCTCAATTTCCAGTCTTATAAATGTACGTTTGGATAATTCCAAGAGAATAGCAAGCGTGGCAGATGATTCCACGAAAGTGAAAGGAACCTCTGGGCGTAATGTTTGGCTAGGTTGCCAACCGGCTGTTTTCAGACTAAATTCGTACCCCCCCTCCGGCAGATGCCCCTCAATGTCCTTGCGACGTAACATTTCTCATCTCTTGATGGAATTCAAGTGCAAAACCCAACGCTTCTTCAAATCAGCAGTCCCCTATATGACCCGCCTCTTGAACGCATCATCCATAACCTAACTAAACTCCCCCCCCCCCCCCCCCCCCCCCCCCACAGAAACGCCCCTATTGATTTAAGACGGTAACATCTACCAAATGGGTGGGTGGTTTCGGGATTCATCTGATGCAGCGGGTCTTCTGAAAGTGTAGGTTTTCCGAGTCAGATATGGAATTTTGAAAGTCAAATGTGACAAAGTAATTTAGATGCGTCGCTGTGCAGAATGTTGGACTTTAGAGAAAAGCATGCTAGACTTTCTGTCCTCGCAGGGCCGGCCCTAGCTATTTCAGCGCCCTGTGCAAAGAGATTCCCAATGCCCCCCCCCCCCCCCCCCCCCCCTAGAAGGGAGAAGGGTTAACCCCTTGCGTGCAAAATGACGCCGAAGTGGAAGGCATTTCCACTTTCTGAAGTAAAACTGAGGTTTTACTTCAGAACTTGACTTGAGAAGGAGTCAGAACTAAAAAAATCCATGATTGCTTCATACATTCAGTCCCGTTTTGGCACTCCTGAATTTGCGCCCTGTGCGGAGGCACATGTGGCACATGCCCAAGGCCGGCCCTGGTCCTCGACTGGCATTTCCATCCTTCGCCTAATGCAAATGCATTCATGGACATGCCTGGATGCATTTAGAGATGACATCACCATTGCAGTTAATCTTGTTGACAACCTTCTGTGCCAGATCACGAATAACGAAAGCTATCGATATTGGAAATAGTCCAATAATGAAAACGTGCGAGTCAAATGCATCGTGAAAAGTCGCGTTAGTCGCTGCCCTCAGTGAAAGTCAAAAGCGAAAATGAGGGAAATGAATCGTCTTGGCCGTTCTTGGATGGACATCAAGCCTGGAAAAGGGGGATTCCTTTCACCATTTCTTTTCAGTGACCGATTCTTAAAACGAATCTGATTCCCTGATGTTGCATTCGAATTCCCATCCCGTATTAGACTTTCTCACGTCTAGATTCCCTAGCCAAACTTGAATTTTTAAAGAAATACTCAAAAGCATTCCTTTCCTTCCCTTTTTATAATTGGGATTTGGTCTCCCTCCACTCCCATTCCACTTTGCTACTGCGGAGCAAAACTTTCCGTTATTACGTTATTACGAGATGTGCTTATGCCAATTATGTGCGCATAACTGCTCTGACACTAAAAATACTGAGACGGTATTGAGGTGTGGCATCCAGAGCCTGTTTGGGACTTGAATCAGGCCAGTTTTTGTTATTCACACGTTTGTCTCCTGATGGCCATGCTACACATTTTCAATGCGATTTGGTTGGGATGCGATTAATCATCAATTTCTCTTGAATAAAAAAGAAATGGAGTACCTAGGAGTCTCTGCACTTTTGAAGTCAGGTGGGCTAATTCTCGGAGACGCATCAAGTCCTGAAGAAAATGTGAAAGAAAAAAGGCATCGCTGAATGTTAGTAGATCTGTTGGTTCCACTATTGAATGTTGAGGAGCACACCAGTTGAATCTGATTTTCGAAGTTAATGGTTAATTTGGATTTATTAATGAAAATGTTTCCCACGAAAAAATCGAGGACACCTTTTAATTAAGGCTGTCACGATAGATCGGTGCATCGATACCACTATCGATAGCTGGAGATATCGATAGTTTCTTCGACCATCGCGATATAATCTATCGGCAAAGTATTTTAAAGGGGAAATGTACCATTGGATTGAGGCGAGTACGGTACGATACAGTCCGTCCGGGCGGGGAAAGGAAGAAGCGGCGTGACCCGCATAGGCTTGCAATTTCTTATCACGATCAAATTCTGGAAATGCTGGGACTGACTATATGAAAGACGGGAAGGGGAAAAAAAAGTCGGGTCGGAGACAGTAAGTGGGAAAGGAGAGAGAAGACCGAGAATATTTTTTTCTCTTATGGTTCTGTCCTCGGTTCGATCTCATCAGGTGCATGCTGCGACTGTTCTTATACTCCCTTGATTTCGAAACGTACATTGATTAATCCCCTCTCTATATTCCTGTCTTATCACTTTAGTATGCAGGCTTAACTTTCTTAATTTTTAACTTGCCTTGGGGCGTTTTATCTCTACTTAAGGTGAACTCAAAGTGAATTTTTTGCATGGACGTTGCTTATTCTAGGGCTGTACTGATGTTTCGGCAACCGCCGGTATGGCACCATCAGCAGGTTTCCTATCTGCCGGTGTTGATGTCCAAAGACAGTGTAGAATGAAGAAATAGAGGAAAAAAATTACGTGAACGGGGCTTGGCAGCTGATTCTTAACGGCAATAAGAAAAATTTAGGGTTGTTCTGATGCATCTATCGATGAATGGATGTCATCTTCGATAGTTGGAGGCATGGTAGTTTTCATTACTCTTTGCGAAGGTCACACATTCCCCTTGCACTTGCACTTGATCATAAGCGTGAGATTATGGAAGCCGGATAGAGGTTCGCGCTCCGATCGCGGCGAGGAAAGATAGAATCCTCCGGCGCACCCCCCCTCTCCCCGATGCATCGATGTTTTGAAAATTGCTATCTTGTGCAATCAATATTCTTTATTCGCTTCTCAGCGCACACACTATTCCTGAAAACGGAGACAAGACGGTTGGGTTTACCGTTAGCGCTCACCTCTTCGTCGCAAACAATTTGCTTCTTGAGGGGATTTCTCATCGATTTCATGGGAAATAACGTTTTTTCTTGCTTCCAGTCAAAGTCAAGAATGGAATCGTAGACTGACGCATGCCAATGAATGCATCAAGAATCTGCCATCGTTTCAAAACTTCCCGAAACTCAAATGATACTACCGCGCATAAGCTCAGGCCAATTCTCTGCTAGTGTCTCCCCAATTTTTCCATAGACGCCTTGGAAATGTTCTAAATATTGCTATCTTTTCCTGACGATATACGGCAAAGAGCAGTTTCAAATTCGGCATTGCTCTTGTCGCTTAAAGTTCCCATTTAACTTCGGAAAGTAACCTCGATATCGGCATTAGTTTCTAGCGACTGAGAAAGGTACGCGAAAAAAACATGAAAGGAACGAATACTACCATGTTACGAACTCGTCTCTGGAACTCGAATGCGAGGACTTTTGCCACCGAAATCAAAAGCCACCGTGGACGGGTTCGTTTGGACTTCTGCCGAATATAATCGAGAAACCCCATATTACTTTTATTCATGGCCTCATTATCATGATGCAACGAGAAGGGAAATTAAAAGCGCACTCTCCTTGCGAGGCATAAACTGTCTTTGCCTGTAATTGAAGGAAATAGGCAAATGAAATACATTGTCATACTGTGCAAGGAATGAAGGAACGTGAATGAACACAAGGACCACATCCTCTCATTTCTCAATTCTCGAGAACTCAGTATCGCTATAATAAACCGGCAACGGAAGAGTGGGAGCAACGGGATAGAGCGATGCCATCCTATTCACGGAATCAGACATGGGAGAAACGGAAACAGCGCGTCGCTTCCCCGCATCCCTCTGCTTGCTTCTCGGTCGTCGTCCGTTCTCTTCCTGTTCCTCCCCGTCTCGCGGTCCCCTTCCAAGGTAGTGCAAGGCGATGTCGCAAAGGAGAAGGGCGAGGAATTCCACGACCTCGATGAACATCACTGCACACATTCCCAAGTAGATTCCGAACACCCCTCCCAGGCTACTCACCAATCCGTTCAACTAACAGGAATCGAGATCAAGGATTTTAGGCTTTTCCACTATAATATTCGCACAATTTTAGCGTTAATTCTTACATCGTATTTCGGTTGTTCCTGGATGACTTGGATATTGAGGGATCGGAAAAATATCTCCACTTTCAACATGTCTTTCTGGAGCTGTTCCTGCACCTTCAGGTACTTAGCTTCGTTGCTGCGAAGTGCGAGAAGGGTATCGTCAAGTCCCAATGCAACAGCCTCTCGTCCAAGCAACGCGTCCTAATGCCGATCCAACACAGCATCTTTCACCGCCCCACAATTGGAGCGAACGGAGAGCAAAATACAGAGCTTGATCACTTACGAAATAATTCTGCGACGGCCAAGACGCCGTGGACAGCGCGACGTCGTACATGACCTCCCTGGAAAGGTTGTTGTGAAGATATCACTGTTGCGAATTCTGACACATGAACTGGGAAGTACACGAAGTATGTAACATTCTGTCAGGTTTGAACTCAAGTGACTAAGGATGAAAAACTTGGTCCCATGAGATGCATATTTTCTTGCAGACGAATGTACAAGGTCTCAAATAATTTTCCCAACTTCCTGTTCAGTTCCTCCATAATACTGCATATGCACCCATTTATATTCATTTCTGCTAATGTGGCTGGTGTTAAGTATTTACTCTGATGGAAGTCAGGTTTGATCCATGTGCTGTCTTCAGGTTCAACACAGTGGAACCAGAATTCAACTGAATCAGCAAGCATAGTACAGGGTGATTTTTTAAACAGTTCCTTGTTTCCAGTTCATATAAATTTTTTTGCAATGACATTTCAGGGATCATTTTGGTACAGAATAGGAAGAAGGCATCGGAGATTCGTGTGGGCTCAAAAACATGGAGGAACTGTTTTAAAAATCACCCTGTACATTATTGATGCCTTCTGCAGTTCCTGGTCCCATGTATAATCTGGCTAAGGCTGGATGGTAGAATGCGTTTCTCTGAGGATATTGTCCATAATGCCGACATAGATCTGAGGGTTGATTAACCCATTGTGAATTTAAAAAGTCGACCTGGCGACTACAAAAAAGGTCTCCAGCCTCTTAGTTGAACTTTATTTATAGGGTAAAATGCATACTTGGCATTCTGTATATTTAACCCCTTTTTCATGAATTGAAGTCGAATCACGATTGGTTATTTAAATCCTAACCTTCGCTCCAAATCATCCGTCGAGGGTGAAAAAAAATTTTCCCCAAACACCTGCAACTTCTGTCAGGTTTGCGCCTCATACTCTTGTGAGGAAATAATTAGGAACTCTTCTATGACTCCTAATGCAAAAAGCAGTCTTACATTTCCACACGAATTCCTCGAATTTTCATGTCGAAATCACACGCGTTTTGTTACGGTTGCAAATAAAAAGGCGAAATTCAGCTTCTCAGGGACGACATGCTCTCGCTTAAAAAATGCTCATACTTCTGATTGAGATAGTCGTCCAATACTTAATGCAGTTTGTCAGCCAACCCCGTTCATGCTGTATAGTCTCCTAAGCCCCATTTGTCGGCCATAGACATGGAAGGGAAAAGGGCTTTGAGGATCTTGAACGCTTATGTCAGCGAGTCCAGCGTGTTCGTTCATCACCTTCGCGGGCTCAATACTCGCGTTCGTCAAAACCGAAGTGGGTTCCCTATGTTATTTTGCCTTCATCCCTGTAAGATGAAGAGTCTGCCAGTAAAAGTATTAGTTTGCTCTGGATTAACAGGATAGGTTTTCAGACTCTGATTGAAGGTGATGAGCGAACTACATACGAATACGAACTACATACGAATTTGCTTCTACTTCTATTCATCCAATTAGTAATTTTAAAATAATTCAAGCCAGAGGTAAGCATTCATTCTTACCCATTTTGAAGAATATACAGTACTCTAACGTAGAGTAATCTAACGTTTCTCAATGTCGCATCGAAATTAGCACCCTTATTCATGCGTCACATTCCGTCCATGAGCCACAAGTTCTCGACATTCCACTAATTTAACCTTGAATCTTGAATCGCAGGTGTAGAAGTGACTGTAATGACTTACTGGCAGGGAGGGCTGCAGGCGGATGGCATCCTTTGGAGGGTTATACCCACTCGCACCATGCATTTACGGTCTTCGGCTGGAAATAGTCATCTCTCCCTTACGGGAACTCCATATTCAGATTTCGTGAGAATTATCAAATATGGCCATACAGGGGTGCTTAGCTCGGAATGTGCATGGTACAAATAAATATTACATATGGGAGACTGTATTTGGAAGCCGTCCAGACCATATCATGTTTTGGCCATTCTTAGTGAATATGGAACTATAGATGGTTCATATATAAGCTTGTATATGGTGCTTAGTTACAATGTACATGGCACTTATAAATATTTGGCATGTTTTGGTCATATTTAATATAATGGATATATGCAACTATATATTCTTAATCTGCAATATAGATGGTCCCCGCATGCATTATTAATTGGAGATTGAAGCAGAGGCTCAGAGGCAGTCACTCGACAATGAAACCTCAGATCGGTTTTTGTGACTCACGTCACAAGGGGAACCTCACTCCTATGCATCGGGCAAGAATTGCCTAGAGCTTCCTGAAGCTAGTTTACGTCTCTCAACATATTCATTGATTAGAACGACTTCCTTCCTTAGGTTTGTATGTGGGAAATTATCGAGTTGAGGGTGAAAGCTTCACCCTCAACAATAATCATTCATTAGCATTTGAGGAATCGGGAGACATATAGCGGCGGGATGAACGCGACCTCGCTCATATTGCGAGAACTTTTTATTTCTTGAACGAACTGCAAGATGTTAGGCCATAGGGGCTGCGAGCGGAACATTGCAAACTATGAGAACGCTGGGCAGCTAAGCCTTAAAATGACGTCATCGGATGCTGGGGGCCTCAGCAGAGCTAGATGAGCCGCAGGCAAAAAAGACACGCCCGATAATTTAGCAGGAGCTATGAAACTAAGAACAAGGGTCCGGACTTGCTCTACAGACAGGAAAAAATCGCCAATGTTACCCCTGATGGTAAAGGAAAGATAGCGTTCAACCAGAAGAATGATGATTTAATACAAGTTAAAATATATGAGGCGGAAAATATCACAGCCATGCAGAAGAAGGACAGGTACACAAAGGCAATTATGAGTTGAATTAGCAACCAATAGGAGATTCAGCAAGCTGATGGATTAGTCCAAAGAGTTCCAGAAGAAGCCGGAGAAAGAATACAAAGAAAGAATTCCTCCTAGGAGGAAAAGGCTAAACCGTTCAGAGGATAGTGCCAGCCAAAGGACTAGGACAGAAGATACGAAGACATGACGGTCGTCGCTGGGGCTACCCCTAAGATGAAAGCAGGGACTCCCAACTTGGACAAGACCCAAAGGACATAGAGGACTGACTGACAGAAGCTGGAAAAACGTGCTCGTGAGACTAGCGCGCCACACACGATATAACGGACAAACTACAAGATATTCCTATTATGAGTCTTTGTCCATGCAGGACCAGGAGTACCAAAACGTCTCAGCAAGGCTCTTGAACGTTATCCTTCTCATATTCGAATTATATTCATGTAGATTTATAGAATGTAGAATTATATTCCTGCGACGACAGATTTTAAGCCCCTGTAGAGGGGCTTAAATTCTGTCGTCGCAGTGCTAGTATGTGGACGATCATCTCCAGAGCAAGTTCCGGCGCTAACTGCTGTAAAAAGCTGTGTGTTGTTAGGGGCCTTCAAAGGCACAGGTTGTGGAGGATGGAAGCGTTCGCGGCCCCCATGACGAGCAAGTTGAAGACCATTCGCTTCCACCATTTCACAGTCCTGTGGTTGAGAGCGGCGTAAGTCAGGCGATGGTGTCAGAGTTAGACGCCAGCTTTATGGATGTTGTAATCGGCAACTGTTACCACCAAGTAGGTGGCTTACAGGACATGCATGTCCGGAAGGTCAGACTCTTCGAGGGCCTGCTACACGAGGCAACCCAAACTGCTGCTCCTCCTGTGGCCAAAGCAAAACAGGAGTCGTGGAAGAAATTAGGCGATGAAATGGAATTGGATGACCGCACTGCCATTAAAGTTTTCTGGCAAACCATCCGAAGGTTACGGCAAGGCAAGTAGCATACTCTCCTAGTCATCAAAGACCGAAACGGGCGGTGTTGGCTGCCGAGGCGGATATATCTAACGAATGAAACACAATGAATCCGCTAAAAAGGTTTTTCGAGAAAGTATTAATATATTGGATTCCGCTTTATTGGGACACGTTGGTTCCAGATCAATTTGCCCCAATTAAGCTGCCCCAATTGGGCTAACCCAATAAAGCGAACTTACTTTAGAGTACAGTAAGAAACCCAGACATGAATGTCCTTTACTTGAGCAAAGACAAACATTACGATTCAATAAATGTACCCATAATTACTTGTTTCATACCCGAAAAAGCTTCTCTAAAGTACCAATGCCAAGAGCACCGTGTCCGCCATCATCCAAACCCTGCTCAATTAAGTAGCGCTGAAGGATGTCCACCGAGCCCGCTTATGTGGGCTCTTACGCGAGTCACCTTAGGTAAAGTCTCAGGCTCCTTGTCTGCGACATACACTTAGCAAGGCCTCTTAACAACGATGTCCTCGACTTTATCGTCCTCAAAGTCATCGTGTTCGGCGAAGCACGGTACGTTTTCGTCGATGTCGACGTAGGCTCCTCCATTAGTGACGTCAATAATGGTCAGACGCTGACCATTATTGGCTTTCATTGGTTGACGCTGGAACCTCTGGTCCGAAATAAAAAGCAAGATCCACGAAAGCAGTTTGCGATGGTCTCTGCCTTAACAGTCGGCCATCTCTTAACCACAAAACACACGGCGAAAGAGTGGGCTGAAAAATCCATCTGGGACCGACGGCATAAGTTCATGTCGACTTTGCTCTGATAAAGCGGATTTTCGTCCCGAATATAAGGCGAAATTTAAATACACTTGCATAGAAATGGTTCCGTTCCTGACAAAACGTCAGATAAAGCAGCTCCCCCATTAACCGAAGTTGCAATGAAGCGGAATCCACTGTATTGTGTGGAGGAGAGAGGACTATGGGTGAAATGCCCGAATCAGCACTCTTTTTTGGTAAATTCGAACAACTCAAGTTTTGGTGAGGTCAGCAAGTGCTGATAGTCTTCGATGAGTATGGACAATGGTAAATAGTCAAATCTAGTACATCTCTGTGTATAATTGGCTAGAACAACTGCAATTGGCTCTCCAAAATATATCCCAAGTTGTGATGAGATCAGCGCTTGGAGATACGCTCAAAAGCAAACTTTCAAGTTGGTATAACCACTAGCACATTCTATCGGTTTTCACCAACCTATCCGCTAGCCTTTGAGTCGGAGACTGAGTGTTAATACGCCCAGCATAAATTGGTTGGTGGCACGAGGTTGGAGAGGGATAAGGAGTTTCTAGATGAGATCCAGTGTGCTCACTTTGTGCAACACGTCGTAGAGCCAACGAGAAATGACTCGCAATAAGATATAGTTTCCTCTACGAACGACGACCTGGCACTCGAGGTTAGAGTTCAGGATAAGTTGAAGGACTCTGACCATTGCACAATCACGTGGGAAATCAAACGGACGATATGCATTAATAGCCCTACCAAGGCTTCATATGATAATGGAAGAGCGGATTTCGGTAGACTAGGCGAAGGCATTTCCGAGGTCGACTGAGAGTGAAGGCTACGAGGAAAAACCGTAGAGGAGCAGTGACAGGTTTTCTAAGCGATTCTGGAAAGTTCTATGGAGTTTTGCATGCATAAAAAGCCAGAGATCGCTCCGAACAGCCGTTCTGGCCTTACAGGTAAGTCAAGCCTATGATCAGATGTACGAAACAGAACTGGGATTCGTAATGGCCAGGGATGTCAAACTCGATTAGGCT